AAAAAAAAAAAAAAAAAAAAAAAAAAGCGAAGAAAAGAATAGGAAACAAATGGCACTAAAAGTGGCAACTAATGAGATCACTCATGTTGGGGAAGAGGGTAGCACTGGGGATTGAATCCAGAGCCTTCAAATGAGCTACATTCCCAGCCCTTTTTATTTTTTAGACAGGGTCTATCTAAGTTGCTATACTGCTCAGGGTGGACTTACTCTGCTGTCTGGCTATGGAGTTCAGGTTGGCCTTCAACCTTCTGTGGAGCCCAGGCTGGGCTCACACTCACAGTGATCCTTCTGCTTCAGGTTCCAGGTGCTGGGATTACAGGCATGCATGCATGAGATATTTTTACATAATAGTTATTGAGAGGTTAAGATGGCGCTCAAGAAGAAATGGAAGCCAGGCGTGGTGGTGCATGCCTACAAACCCAATACTCTCAGAGGCTGGGGATATGCCATAGACAGTTCCAGGCTAAGAATATCCTAAAGCTCCCCCATGGGCACAGATACAAGCCCAGTTTTCTTCCTCATTCTAGGAACCTAACTGAAGTAACTTCTGCTCTCTTAGAAGGCACAGGGTATCTGAGAAGCTGCTTCTCTGCCTCAGTCTCTTCAACACACCCACAAGTCTGTCTCTGGTCAGCTGTATGGGATATCAGGGTATATGGATTGCTTTCTTTTTTAAAGAAAACACAAGGGCCAGGGAGATGGCTCAGTGGAATAAGCGCTTCCCTGGCAAGCGCAAGGGCCTGAGTTCAATCCCTGGTTCCACCAAAAAAAAAAATAAATAAATAAATAAAAATCTAAAAAAAAAAAAAAAGAAAACACAGCCAAGGGGGGTCAGGGAGATGGCTCATAGAATAAGCACTTACCTGCCAAGCGTAAGGGCCTGAGTTCAATCCCTGGTTCCACCAAAAAAAAACCAAAAAAACAAAACAAAAAGAAAACACAGCCAAACAGCTGACTGAAGTAGGTAGATAGGTATGTATGTTATGTGTTCATTTATTGACAGCCTGTTACTATGTAGTTCAAGCTGGCCTCAAATTCATGGCAATCCTCTTGCTCCAGTTTCCTGACTGCTAAGATTATAGGTGTGCACCACCATGCCCAGTGATTGCTGTTCTATTATTTACTTTTGTCCTTTTGAGACAGGGTCTCACTATGCAGTTTAAACTGGTCTTGAGGGCTGGTGAGATGGCTCAATGGTCTAAAGCACCTACTTTGGACAAGCTTAGCAAAGCACAGGGACCACGGTTCAATCCCCCAGCACCACATGCCAGCCCGCCCTGCCCCCTGGTGGGCTGAGCTGGCCACACGCACACAGATAAATAAATAAAATTAAAAATAAATAAATAAATAAATAAACTGGTCTTGAGGGGCTGGGGAGAAGGCTCAGTGGAATAAGCGCTTCCCTGGCAAGTGCAAGGGCCTGAGTTCAATCCCTGGTTCCACCAAAAAAATAAAAATAAATAAAAAAAAATAAATAAATAAATAAACTGGTCTTGAGCTCATTTTGTAGGCCAGGCCTCAAACTGGCCTCAAACTTACAACAACCCTCTTGCTTCAACCTCCTGAGTGCTGGGATTACAGGTGTGCACCACCACATAGGGCTTGATTGCTGGTTTTTTTTTTTTTTTTTTTTTGGAGGCCCGAACAGGCCCTCAGGTCATTTCTGGTTTGGCTGGTGTATCTGGGTTCGAATCAGTGGAAATTGAGCCTCACTGCTTTTTTAAGCAGGCACTTAAACAACTGAGCTAGTGGGCGGGCCCCCTGATTGCTGTTTTTAATACCATACCTTACTTAGACAGATATCCACAGGAGGTTCCTTTAACCGGACAGTGGCCTTCCCTTCATCCACAAATCTGGTGAAGAATTGTTCAATGTTCTCCTTTAGCTGCTTAAAACCAACAGGTAAAAAGGACAAAAGTAATACTGTTATTTAGCAATACTTATTATTATAGTCAGTCACTCTGCCAGACTTTTTTTTCCCCGTATGGCCATTAATCTGAAGGATTCATGTAGCTGCTGAGCTACATCCTTGGCCTTGGTTTAGCTTTTAATCCTGAAGTCTGGGTGTTTTATAGTTCTGGCAGTTGAGTGGTTACATCCCTATCTACCTTGCAGTAGATTATTACCCTATCAGTCTTGACTCCTTTTCTGAGATCAGATTCCTGAATCTTCCTGGATAATCTCTCTCTTTCTATTCCAACCATGCAGCTAAGGTAAGAAGTGCAGTAGTAATTTGCTTTCATAGTCTTAGTCCATTAGTTTGAGATGGACACACCTCCAGCTCCCTGAGGGTAGAACTCTTGTCTTGCTTACTGCTGTCTCCTCAGACTACAACAGTAACTGACACAAACTTTTTCATGATGCTTTTGCTTTAGATTTCAATAAGTATTGAGAAGCCACTATTAGCAGTAAACAAAAAAAGGGGGCTTTGAGACATAGTGGTAAGTCTGGTAAAGCCTCATGTGGTGACATACAACTGTAATCCCAGCACTCAGGAGGATGGTGCGGGAGGATAATTTCAAATTCAATGTCAGCCTGGACTACAAAATGAGTTCAAAGCCAGCCTAAACCGTACATCAAAACCTTGCCTCAAAAAAAAAAAAAAAAAAAAAAAAAAAAGACTGACCTGGTAACTATACTTAGTGTTGATAATCTGATGAGTTACTACACAAGTAATTAAAAGCATGGAAAACATTAAGACAAGAGAAGTGAAGGATGCTACCATCCTATCAAGGAAAATTTACTCACTCTAGGGGGAGCAAGATGACCTGAAAGGTTAGAAGAGGAGGGGGCCAGCACAATGGGGCACACCTGTATTCTTAGCACTGGGGAGGTCTGAGGCAGAGGCAAAAGGATCACTGAGAATTGGAGGCCAGCCTTGGCTACATAGTGAGTTCAAGACTAGTCTGAACTACACAGATCCTGTCTCATCAAAAAAAAAACACAAAAAACCACCTTAGATTTTTATCCTAAGAACAATGAAATCCACTAAAGGAACTTCAATCTCCAACACCTGTAGTTGAAGTACTGAGGAGGCTAAATCAAGAGAATTGCAAGTTTGAGGCCAGCCTGGGGGATATACTAAAATTCTGTAAAAAATCAAAACTGAAGATGTGGTTCAGCGGTGCTGCATTTGTCTAGCATACTTCCGGCCCTGGGTTTCCTAATATTAAAAATAAAACCGTAATTCCCTCTAACTGCAGTGTTAAATTGGAACTCTAGAGGAGAGGAGGATGGGGTTGGGGAGACAATGGCAGAAGGAGAAACCTTACAAGACTGACCAGAATACTGGGGGAACAGTCCAAATGGTAGAACACTTGCTTGGCATAATGAAGGTTCAATGCCCTGGGAGGATGAAGGGATAAAGTGTGGAAAAAACACGTAGGAAGTAGAACTGAAAAGATCTGATATGCTAGATGTGGGGAAGGAAGGGCTTTAAAGTTTCTGCATGGGGGTGCTATTTAATGAGTTGCAGAACAGGCTGGGGTAGAATAGCAAGGAAAATGAATTTTCAGACATTCTGATTCTGAATGCTCAAACACACCCAATAGGAGGTAGACTTAAATCTGAAGTTAAGGGAGAGAACGAAAACAGATTTAGAAGTCATAATTTGATCGATGGTAGCTAAAGTCACAAAATAGAAAAATAAAACATTTAAGAAATAGCCCTAAGGTCCTGTCACACCTGCCAGCAATAACAACTCTTCCTGGCCAGGCCTAGTGTCAGGTGTTTGCACCTTCACCACATCCGGAGTGCTGTGCTATCACATCTACCAACCTCCCAAGCTCCTACAATACAAATCCATATTTAGTTTTTGATTTTTCTACTATTAGCACTTATTATGGTCCATTTTAAGTGGTGGTTTCTGTTTCTCCCTTTCTAAACTCTGAGGGGCTGTGATTACACAGTGTGTTATTTCCCACAGTATCTAGAAGTGCACCTTGCACGCAAAAGTCTCCCACTAGGGATTCACAATAAAATCTTGCTTCAGATCCCCACTAGCCATTGTCTATTCATGAAGCAGATGTTTTAAGGGAGATCACGTTTTTAAGATGCAAAATCGGAACTGGGTGTGAAAGAAGTCAGTTTTGCCGAAGACAAAGACTAGTCTCAGCAAATGGAGACCCAATTCAAGTTACAAATTTGTTCTGTCATGTAACTGTTCTCTGACCTATAAAATGGAAAATGACTTTATTTTTTTGAAAATGACTTCTAAAATTCTTTCAAACTTAAAAAAAAAAAATGGATTCCATGGACAGAGAAGAAAATTAGATTTTCAACTACTTAAACATTGGGTGATTCTAAACGAGATGGTAGCACTTTTCCCAACCATTATTCCTTGTAGAATACAACAAGGGAACTATCTTGGGAATTGTATAAAACCCAGTCGTGTCAGGTGCAAGGATGCGAGAATTATTCCTCAGCTTTGTTTATAAAGACACAAAGGTACTGCACGTTTACAAAATGCTCGGAAAGTCGCTCCAACAATCTTGTATTTGCTACCGCTCTATTGATACTGTTTCCCTCAAGTAGACAGCAGCCCCATTCGCAGTTGTTTCACGCAGGCTGAAACTTTATTTATTTTGCGGTTCTAGGGATTGAACTCAGGACCTTCTGCTTGCCAGGCAAGTGCTTATTCCACTGAGCTATCTCCCCAGCCTAGGCTGACACTTTAGAAAAATGGAAGGGTGAGGACGCTACCGAACACGGAGTAGCAAAGCTGTAAATTCTGAGTCACAGAAAAAGGCAAGAAAATGAACCCAAACATGGGAAAGCTTGACCCTAGTGCTGGGGTGCAGTGGGGTTCAGGCGCGGACCCATGGCACGAGGGAAACAGCGGACGCGAGACCTGAGGGCGGCCCTTCCCGGCCCCGGAAGAGCCCCACGTACCTCATAACAGGTCCCGCGCTTGTCCTTCATGGTGGAGACGAGCAGGCAGGCGGAGCGCGGGCCCGGCTCGCCCTTCGCTGGGGCCCGCAGCTGACACAGGCTCACCACGGCGCGGACGCCCTTGCCTCGGTTCCTCAGCCCTAACGTTGGCAAGTGCCGGCTGACCACCTCCACCTCACAGTGGAGCTTCATCCTTCGCGGGCAGCGGCCACCCAGCCACCGGGCTTTGAAACTTCCCCCTTCCCGCCTCCCCGCGCCGCGCCGGGGTCCTCAGTGGGCGGGGCTGCCCGCGGATCTGCCTGCGCTGCTCGTGCGGTCGTCGCGGGCGTGCGGGGTCCTGCGGGGTCCGCGCGGCCTCCAGGTGCGGGCCAGATGCCGTGCTGTGGCCCCGGCCCGCGCGACAGAGCTACTGACGGCTAGAGGGCCCGGCCCGCGCCTTTCCAATCAGGCGTTCGGCGAGGGCGCCCGTGAGTCCCCGCGCGCTGGCCGCTGGCGGTGGTGGTGGGCGGCGCGGCTGTCGGTTGTCTGCTTCTGGCTACCGAAGTGCCCAAGGGAAGCCTCCGCCCTTGAGTGTGTTGGGAACCGGCCCTGGGACATCAGAGCAGTCCTGACGGCCGGCGAGGGCGCGACATTTCCTGAAAGGACAGGCTTTTTTCTCACCCCGCTCTTTGTCAGCGGAGCTTTCGAGGACAGGCAGGACCAGAGATGGCAGTTCCGGTCGAGCAATTCGCGCTTGGCGGCGGCGGCTGGGCAGGTTGGAGCCGCGGCTCAACTAGCCGAGGCTCGGAAGGCGCCCAGACCCAGGAACTCTTTGGGGGCTCCGTTTTCCATTTATTGAGCTGGTGCGAGGGCGAGACCTGGCGCGCAGATTTAAAGGAGGCGCTCACTGTCGGGCTCCTAAAGTTCCTCGCTAAATTTTGTGCCCCGAGCGCCTCCCTTGCCTTACGCTTAAACATTGTGTCTGAGTTGTATTTTCATTATTGTGAAATTACCTTAAGACATGTTTCCTGTCCCTCTCTCGTGCCGCTCTTTCCTCTCTGAGCTACTTTGTCCCCCTCCTCCCTTTCCTTGGTATGAGGATTAAACTGGCGATTTGGAGCTGAGCTGCATACACTTCATGATCTTCCTGCTTCAGAGATTACAGGCATGCACCACCACTCCCGGCTTCCAAACACTAGTTTTAAGTTCAAATATGAGAAGCTTATGATTTATCCCTGTTTACCAGCGTACTGAACTTAAAATATTACTGTTGAATCCCCATTGTAAAAACCAGTTTGATTGAGGAAAAGTAGTGATTGAGGCAGTTAGCAGTCCCTCATTCGCTTCATATTCTGTCGTGTGTAGGTAGTAGAGCATTGAAGCACTCCTTCAGCAACAGTTCATCGCTAGGCTACAGGAAAAATAAAACTACAACTCAGAATTTTTAAGGACAGAATTTCGAGGACAGGCAGGACCAGAGGTGGCAATTCCGGTCGAGCAAATCGCGCTTGGCGGTGGCGGCGGCGGCTGGGTAGGAGCCGCGGCCTCAACTAGCTGATAGGACTTTGTAGAGACTATTTTTGTTCTTTGAATGGATGATATAGAAGAAAAAGCTTAAGGGATTACAAGTACGTTAAATATGCTCCGTTTCTAGCACATTTGACAGGAATAATTTTATTTATTTTTGTTTTGTTTTATTTGGTACAGTGTCTTCCAGTGCAGCTCCTCGTAGTGACCCTCCTGTCTCAGCCTCCCCATCTCTGGGATTACAAGTGTGTGTCACCACTCCCAGTTCTGGAGGCCAGCATAGCAAGGCTGGATGGAATTCTGGGACCAGCAGGGCATGTGGTACCGGGGGTAGAACGCGGGACCTTGCGCTTGCCACGCAGGCACATAGACCGCTCAGCTGCCTCCGCAGCCTAATTAATTAATTGAAATTAATCAAGTCATAAAAACTTGTCATATAAACTTAGATAGCCTTGCACTTAGTGTAGCCCAAGGTGGCCCTAAATAAAGTCTGGGCTATACTGTCTCAGCCTCTGGAATGCTGTACACCACCACATCTGGCCACAATTAAGGGTAGAAATATGAGCTAGGTGTGATTTCAGCACTGTATACCGAGACCCAGTCCTCCCCCCCAAAGTAGAAATATGCAAAAAGTAAAGACAAAAAGCTTCAGCATTTTATTGAAGTGTGCATTCACTACATATTAAATTATTTAAGTACCTGAGAATTGCACAATAGTTCAATGGTGATTTTCAAGTGAAACGATGTATACCTCTGAATAATTGTCATACTTTCATAAAGAGATGTCTTGTGCCCATCTCCACCTTTTTCAGTGATGCTGGGCATTGAGATCAGGGCCTGATACATACTGGGTAAATGCTACCGTTTCGCTATGCAGTACTCCTAGATTACTTTATTAAGTTGGATGTAGTGGTACACACCTGTAATCTGGTCACTCTGGAGATTGATGCAGAAAGATTAAAAGTTTGAGCTCAAGCTCATCTTCCAAGTTTAGTGACTTAGTGAGACCCTGTCTGAAAAACAAAACACAAAATTGCTCTATTTAAAAAATGAAAGATAATACTTGAATGTAAAATAAATGCTTATCTAATTTTGAGGGTTTTACTCAGTTTTCATGGCTGACATACTAGGCTCTGTCCAATACATATAAATTAGTTTTTCTTTCTTTTTGAGACGGGGTCTTGCTATGCAGTTCAGGTTGGTCTTGAGCTCACTTTATAGCCCAGCTGGTCTTAAATGGGCTCAAGACCTGCCTCACATGTGCGCCACCAGACCCAGCTCTGTCTGATATACTTATGTTCCAGGTATTGACTTTAGAGGATTGTGAATTGAAGGATTCTTTGAACATCTATCTACACCTCTCTTTACTATCTATAATACAAGTAAAAACTGCTCTTTGATCTTTTCTGTTAAAGAGTGTGAAATAGGAATTCACAGGAATTAAAAGTTGGGGTACAGTTTTTTTTGCAAAAGGAGTCAAATAGATTTATTTTTCTTCTATAAAATTATTTCCCCTTCCAGGCCTGCATTGCCACGCTCATTTACCCCCTTTCTGTTTTGTTCATTCTAATTCTATTAATTTTTCAAAACCCAGCTCAGTTTCCACTAAGCCTTCTTTACCATCTTGCCCTTTCTTTTTGTGTACTCCTGTTGCACTTAAAGTTGTATTTCACTTATTTCCATGGGTTTCTGGCACTTACTAAGCATTCAACAGATAATTGAAGGCCAGGGATATAACTCATGAACACAGTGCCTGCCTGGCAAGAGCAAGGTCCTGAGTTCAATTCCCTTTACAAAAAAAAAAAGCAAAAAACCCAGAAAAGTTAATCTTTCTGACTTTTCCCTTTTTGCCCTCCATGAAATTTACTCTATTTGTAGCTCCCTAAGGTTAGAAATGATAGCACAAGGACCTGAGTTCAAGCCCCAGTTCTGCAAAAAAAAAAAAAAAAAGAAGTGATAACCTTGTTCCATGAGAGTTTACAAGAACAAGGGCATAATCTATGGGTAAGAGTAAATTTATTTGATCTAGAACATTGGAAATAGATCCAGGAGGTATTTTTACAACAGTAAGCATGATCTAAAATGTAGTAAGAGCCCAGCAGGATAGTACATGCCTATAATTTCAGTACTCTGAGAAGCTGAGGCAGAAAGGTCAAAAGTTTGAGCCAGCCAGGCATGTGGCATTGACCTGTAATCCCAGTACTTGGGGAGGCTGAGACAGGAAGATTGCTGAGAACTTGAAGCCAGCCTGACATACATAGTTCTAGTAGTTCAAGGCCAGTCTGAATTACATAGTGAGATCCTGTCTTAACACCCACCCCCACCCCATCCCCTGTCCAAAAAGTATTGTGCCAAGCCTAGGCAATTTAGACATTTAGGGAGACCTTTTTGTCAGGCTAGACCCTGAGGAATAACCAAGACCACCTGCACAGGCATGATTGAAGCAAGCAGCGATCTCTTTATTTCAGGCTGAGTGCAACCTGATCAAGGGTGAGAAGGCCATTGACCATGAGCCAAGGAAGAGAATTAGCTTTATTTATTTTTATTGAGAAATAAATATGAATGAGACAGTTTCACAGCTGATTAATAGGACAGTTTTAATAATCAATACATGAGAATCAGCTTTGTACACTAGCCTAGGTATGGGGGAGGGTTTCACTGAGGAAGACGGAAAATTTTAAGTTTCTCAGGGGTCATGGGTAGGCCTGGCGCTTCTTTGGGAGGAGGGAAATACAAGATGACAGTGGTATTCTGCTGATTTATTAAAGCGTGTCATTCTGTAGATTTACTGGGTTTCTCTTCAGCCTGAGGACCAGGCCTGGGAGCCATCCTGATAAACACTTATTTTCTTTTCTCAGGGTGAGTGAGGGAGTCTTCCTGTTTGAACAGACTGGCCTGTTGAAGATTTTTCTTTTCATTTTGGGAAGACCTACTTGTGAGGACCTAACACTTCTCAAAAAGTAAAAGTAAAAAAAAAAAAGTAAAAGGAAACCAAATTTCTTTTATTCTATTTTATTATTTTCGGCAGAACCTGAATTGAACTCAGGCCCTTGTGCTTGCCAGGGAAATGCTTATTCTACTGAGCCATCTCCCCGGCCCCAAGGAAACCAAATTTCAAAGTTGTGTAAAGCCCTTGCATTTAGTCCCCACTACTGCAAACTAAAGCGAAACAGAACAACTTGTTTGCTAAACTGAAGCCTTTATACTTCAGCCTGAAAATTTTAGAAGATGTTTTTACATATATATTTGTTTTGTGATCCTCTGGGCTCAACTTGCCAGAGTACTGGGATTATAGGCAAACACTACCATAAAATTCAGATCTCTTCAGGAAAGTTTCTGGGGTGAATGAAGTGATTACTTTGGATTTGGAAAAAAATGGGAGTCAAGAATATTAAATAGGCTGATATAGTGACCTACCATCCACACTGTAGTCAAATTAAACTTATACAAATGTGTCCTATCATTGAACTCTCAGCTTTTTTGGGTGGGTGGGTGTTGAGACAGGTCTCACTACGTAGTTCAGGTTGGCCCTGAATTCAGTATGTAGCCCTGGCCTTAAACTCAGGGTGATCCTCATGCCTCTGCCTCTTCCTCTGCCTCTGGAGTGTTGGGATTATAGGCATGCCCCACCTTGCCTGGCTTTTATTACATTTTAGGTGACATTTACCAGTGCAAATCTATTTCCAATGCTCTAGGTCAGACAAGTCTA